CTGATTCTGGGAAGGTGCATCAAGCAATCCTTGAATTTATTCAGTGAGTATTATTTGATTGAAAGGCAAGTGTAACAGTAAATGCCTGCTAAAGTCATTACCTAGCTTTAGTATGTATTATAGTTTAGTAGAGGCAATAATGATGGATACAGTACTATAGTATTAGTATTAGTATCTGTATACAAAGAAACAGGAGTATGATTGCTCTTCAAGCTAACTGTCATAGTATTAGCATTAGTATCTGTACATAAAGAAACAGGAGCATAATTGCTCTTCAAGCTAGCTACTATAGTTATGTTGTTATTACTGTCCTTGACTATCATCTCTCAGATTATTAAAGCAGTCTAAATAGCTCTACACTGTAAGGTCCTAACAAATATTTCTTTTAGCCTGACTCAGGGCCATACAGGTCAATATCTGGCCCAGGAACTGATACAGTGTCTTTAGTAATACAAACTTACTAAGTATGTATGTGTTATTCTTATGAACATTCTGTACATTACTGATTACTATGTTATAGGTACATGTACTCTGTATAGACAATACAGGTAACTGTAATACAATAGTGACTGAGCTAGAAAAACTTGTACTAATGTTTCATAGTATGAAATTGTATGTACATTGTTTTACTCATATTGTTAATCTTGTTGTAAAGGTAAGCATAGTGTTTTACAAGTTACACTATACTGTCTATTTACTACTTATGTCTAAACAGTCCTTTCATTGTTTTTCTGTCTAGCAAAGCTATGTAAAGTTGTCAAGATTAGGGTCCATCAGCTTCATAGTAATTCTAATCCTTCTCTAGCTAAGGTTGTAATTGAACCTAGGGAGCAGCTCACACCTGAGGAAGAGGAGCTTGTTGCTTCTCTTACTAAGAATGATACTAGTACATATGATGATAGGCAATTAGTTCATAATACATATGTTACTACTTCTATTTGAAACAAAGCTATTGCTGACATACAAGGAAGGGGTGTACAGGTTGAGCAGAATGAGTTACAGAGTACAGAAATGGTTTTATATAAGGTATTCATACTCTTTCTTTCAAATATATTATACTAAAATAATAATTAGATTGCTAGTCTTACAAAACAAGTAAATGATTCACCACATTTGAAGGAATGGTTTAATAAGTTGGTTGATACTAAAGTTAATAATCCTAACTCCAAAATTGATAGTAATAAGCAAATGCTAGATTGCCAAGTTGCTACTTGGTAGAATTCTGATTTTGCTTGTATTGAATTATACCTCCTCTTATACCCTGTTGTTGAACAGTTAATTGGTGTCTAGCATTTGAAACTTCAAAATTTCATTCTTAATTCTTCTCAACAAACTCTTATACAAGATTTACTTTATGTTCTTTCAGTAAGTCCTTACAGTACTTATCTAATTCTTCTAACCTATTTCATATACAGATTCTTGAGGAACCTACTCAACTTTTTTCAAAAGTAGAGGTTCCTCTCATTTCTAATGTAATTCCTATGTTGCTTGACATTTGTCAGGCACTTGAATGTACTAGTAAGAATGAGAATTTGCCTAACATTCTTTGTATTGCTGCTAGAGCTGGAATACTTGTTTGTGACAAGTACTTCACTCTCACTAGAGAGTGTGAAGTATATTTTATTACTGTTAGTATGTTATTTACATTCTTAAAATTGTAACAGGATTCTAATAGTGTTTGTCATATAGTAATGTTACTAGACAAGAAGTTGGAATAGTTTACCAAGAGGAACTTTCCTGAAACTGTGGTTCAAGAGATCCAGAGTCTTATAATCCAACACTAGGAGCAGTCCTACAAGCAATACAATCCAAATTGTACATCTTCATCTAGACAAACACACCCTTTACAGCCAGTAAGTACTTCATTTGTATTATATAATATATGTCTAATATATTTTTAGTCTTGTTCACACTATCTTACTCAGTGTGATACTATTGATGAAGGTCCATGTGATGTAATACAAGCTTATTTGTCTGAACCTTGAGTCTCTACATCAACTATTCAGTCTTCAGGTAGAGTTATACAATACTGGTATTCTGTAGAGGCATATTAGCCTAGTGTAGCTCAGATAGGAATAGACTTTTGCTCTGCCCCTGGTAAGCTTTACTTTCTGTTATATTTTCCTTATATATTTAAGAGTCTTATCTATTTCTTTGTTATAGCTACCTCAGTTGATGCAGAAAGAGCATTCTCTGTTAGAAGGTGTCAACTTAATTTTATACAACATTCCACTTCTTCAAACACTTTCAAAGCTAAAATGGCTGTTGGTTCTTAGGATGGAACTCCTTTATTTCCTACTATTGATCATGCAATTGAAATAATTAGACAAAAGATGTCTTAATCCACCATTCCTTACTTTTTTCACACTGATTTGGAGGACTTTCATTATAGAAATTTAAAATATATACCCTAATAATGTCTTTATTTATTACTAAATAAAACAATTATATTGTATATACTTATATTTAATGTGAAACAATAAGATTATCAACTGAGAATTAAGTAGAAAAAAGAATAGTTATATTCTACAGTGGTACTCGAAGATTGGCACGGTACGGTGGTTTACCGCGGTAACCGTGAGAAAATTTACCGCGGTAAGAAAAAACCACGGTATGGATCGCGGTACGCGCGGATGGTTACCATGCCAGGGCCTACATCACATGAAGGTTTAGAGCTGTCACGTGATATTAACTCACAACACTCAACTGTCTTTATATAGTCTCAGAACCTCTAACACTCACAACGTTCAGCGTTCAGCGAAGATCTTGGGTTTATTTCTGTGTGTAAACAGCACTACAATACATTTTCTTAGCTCAGTAATATCAAGCATTTGTTTTGAAAGATGATAGTGTACTTTTATGAGCTATTTTAATGTAAAGTATCTTGTTATATTTGGCACAGCGTATACGCCGTATACGGAAGTA